TATTTTAAAATTGTTTATGCCATTTCGATAGAATACTCTAGGGGTACCATTATCAAATGTTTTTAAAAATTTGGCAGATACATGACTGAAATATGGATAAATTACATTATAAACACAAAATAATGTAAAATACATTTTGCAATATCTTATTTATTGTTTTAAGGTATCTAATACAAAACTAATAAATAACTAAAGATTCTTTGAAGCAAAATCGATTACTGCTTGCCTTAAATTTTCAGTAAAACTTTTTCTTGGGTTTTACATGGAATTGTTTTTAACATGGAAACAGTATTTTTAAATTCTTCAGTCTCTGTACAAACATGCTTCTTACATCTAGCAATATCCCCTAGAAAGGAAGAGCATATCAAAATTTTAGTTCGTTCGTCCGTCCTCTTCCCTTAATATATTATTAAAAAATTATAATTTTTTATGCCCTTTATATCTTGCCATTTTGCAGATAAAGCTCATACATTCTTGGCTGCCGCGAAATTCTATAGCAATTTCTAAATTTTGAAAATTTGGCAATTGTGGCTATGGAAAAATACCGTTTTTACCATATTGAAGTAGGTAATTTTGAATCACTTAAGTTAAAGTGTTCGTTTGAAAAAGTCTGCAGTAATTTTTATATTTTCTCAGAAACCCTAAACTCTGAATTTTTCGATTTCCAAAAACAATTTTGTCTCCACAGCCAGCACATACCTTCTTTCGATTTTCTTCATGGCTTAACTTGAATTTCGGTTTAATTTTCATTTTAAAATACTATTTTTAACTTTATAAAGTATACATTAAATAAACAACTAAAGCAAAATGTCACTTGCGTTATAACGTATAGCAATTTTTTTCATAACCACCTTAATTATTGTTTTACAAAATTTGCAAGTTGTAATTATTTCATAGACAAACTTCCAGTATTTTTTGTTATAAAAATTATTTAAGATATAAATCTTCGTTTTTTTGTTATGTTTTGTTTTGAGTGGTAAAAAATAATAGGTGACTCAATAAATTAATACTGGGGAGTAAAGTCATTTAAATGATACAAAGTTTATTATTTTGCTTAATTTTATTAAAATTGTACAGGTAGTTTTAGTACAATAATTGCAAAATAATATATAGAAATAGAAAAACAAAAAAGTTGCAAAACTTTAAAATAGGATCAGCTGGGATTTTGATAAATACATGTTAGTGTCTATAATCAAAATATGCTATCAGTTTTGGTTGGCATTTTTGTTCGTCCTATACTTAAGTTTTGACCACCGTGTATATGATAAAAATGTTAACTCACCGAAAAATTCCAAACTTCGAAAAACTTAACACTGGCATGACACGAACGTTGTCAGCAAGTAAGCGATGCTCGCTTGTTCTTCGATTCGCATTTGTTTCGACACTATTCAAGGGACGCGCCGACTATGATGGCGCGAAGACGTCGCGACGCTCGGCGTCGCTCGGCCAAACTCGATGTTTACTTCTAGAGACCGGATTCTTGGAAAAATGCGCTTTTGAATCTATGGATTTTCGAAACTCATAACATTTCTGGTAATAATATATATGTATCTACAAAGTACGTTGTGCATTAATTCATGGCAAAAAAAATAATTCTCGTCGATAACAATTTGTATCCCAGTCAATTTCTATGTAAAATTATCCGTTTAGTTTTTGAGATATAGTCAATTTTTCAGATCATATGGAATTGACTATATCTCAAAAACTGCTCTACTTTCATAATTTTTGACGGTATTTTCGGATTCAGGGGATAATTTTACATAAGAATTGGCTGGTAAATGTCCGGGATACCATGGTATAAGTGAAAAAGCAGCCACTAATAACTGGGCCAAAAAAATCAACTATTTTTTTTTAATGTATATCGAAAATTGGTTTGGGGTGACAAAAAAAATATTGTGAAAGTTTGAGTCAATAGTATTAATATTAAGAGGTCTATCATCGCAATTTATTTTTTTTTCCTCATCAAGTTTTTGTCTCAGAACTCCCAAACCATTGAGTTTAACAAAATTGACTCGAAATTATTTTTTTAAGAAAATTAAATGCTCTACAAAAAAGGTTAAAGTGAAATTTTCCGTCAGATAAACTGTTTCCTTAAAATCATGCCTTAAAAATTGGTATAGTTTTACATTTTGATCTTTTAAATTGGAATTTTGTAATTCATGCAAAAATAAGTACCCATAGAAAACCTATAAATATTCTTATGGGAAATCAAAAAGCCTCTCAACATTTTTGGCTAAATTCACTCAATCAAAAGTTATTCTAGGTTAAAATTTCGTTTTGACTTCAAATTTAACCTTGAATAACTTTTGATGGAGTAAATTAAGCCAAAAATTATAAAAGACTTTTTTGTAGAGCATTTGATTTCCCATAAGAATATTTATCGTTTTTTTTCAGGGTTCTGATTTTTACTTGAATAACAAAATTCCAAAGTTAAAAGATCAAATTGTAAAACTATACCAATTTTTAAGGCATGATTGTAAGAAAAGGGTTCATCTGACGGGAATTCCCAATCAAACCCAAACCCCAAATACTTTACAAAAAAAAATAGTCGATTTTTTTGGCCCAGTCTAGTATGTATATGTATATGTATGCGTATATAATTTTATGAAACAACAATTTTTAATCTATCTGTTTTTTTATTTTTCGAATGTTGTAAACATCCGTTCTCTTCGTTATTGTGGCGTCGCGACGAATGAGACGTCTTTATGCGTTTTTTGCGCGTTATTTCGTCATAGATGCAGTTTATTGTCTGGAGCAGTTGGTGTGAAGTAAGAAATTCCTGGTTAATTTACTGGTTTTTTATTTGGCATATTATGGTTATTTGTTACGAGATCGTTTGAAAGCAATTGGGGTAAAATTTATGGGGATTCGGGAGGGAATGGTATACAGAATGAAGGGGATTTTTACAGCAATAGATACTCTTTACAGTGGCGGCTCAGAAATATTTAACTAAATAAACTCAAACTCAAGAAACACCCGCTTTCAGGAAAATGAAGATGAAATTTTTTTTGCTTAAATTGACTTTTGGTTGGATTTTTATAAATGTTTAGAGTTTTGTTTACTTACTTTTAAGACAAGCAGTGCACTTTTTAATTTTTTTTACGTTTTTTTCAGAAAAATGTGTTTAGCTAGCTTTATATGTCTCAACTGTGTTACCAATTTGAAATCCAAAATTTAATTCAATAAAAAAAGTTGTTATAAAAATATTTTGAAATAAAATGTATAGTACTTAGTTCACAAACGTTTGACTCACGTTTTATTTTTTATTAAAAATTGTATGCCTTTTTTAAATATTTATGTTAGTTAAGTTACTTTTTAAAAGGCACCATTCCGATTTTTTGTTAAAAAAACAATACCATTAATATTTTCTTTTAGTCACTGTATTAGTGAGTTAAACTCTAATTTATAAACAGGTATTACCAAGTGATAGTAAAATCATTTTAAGGATTTTTTTAACAAAAACTAAAATAAGTAACGAAATAGACATTGGTATCACAAAAACTCTTGTAGTGGTACTCACTTGCAGAATAACAACTTAGATTTCTAAATTTTTTTACCGAAAAACTAACTATAAGCTGGTGTCTTTTAGTACTTGTATATTGCGTGGAATTTTCCCTTGGATGTAATCTATATCATGAGTTGTAATCAGAAATAATTTTAAATTGGTTTATCATAAACTACTTTTAATAAAAGCGACGGTAAATATCCACTTTGTTGTCAAAAAATTCTATTGCGTTACCCTAAATTCCATTGCGTTACCATAAGGTAACGTAATGGACTCGGTAACGCAGTGGACAAAGTTTTGTGAAACCATATTAAAAAAATAATACTAAAACATTACAGTCATTAATTACTCTCAGTGAGCTTTAGTGCCCTAAAATAAACATAAACATGAAAAATAGTTTTTTTCTTACCTTATTTTTATTATTTTTTTGAGTAACTTAGCGGACAAACAATTATTACATTCGCGTTACCCGCACCTGTTTCAACCGATATCTTCCTGATTGAATAAATAAATTCAGCTGGGTAATGTGTACGTTCGAACATCATTTGTTGATCACGTGAGTACCAAAAAAGTTGCCATATATATGTTTTTTTAAATATTCTATCGGTAACGCGACGGACGTAACGCAACGGAAAAAATGTCTGGGACATGAGTCAAATTTAAAAAAAGTAGATTAAAAATAATTAATTTATATATAAATTGTTTACTTAATAAACTAAGGATGTTATGGATTGCTATAAAGCAACACAAAGTTCTGGTTATTCAATATTTAAAAAAAAACATGTATGAAAGTTTTATAAAACGCTAATGGGACATGCGAAAATGTGTGTTTCACAAGTTTCAAAGTTAAAAAAAAATTATTCTGAAATAACTAAACAAACATTTTCTGAAAGAGTTTACTAAGGGCTTGTTAGGCTTTCAGCCTATCCTCCGTGACTGTTACTCTTTCTAGGTTAACCTATATATTTTCAAATATCTGAGGTTATTTTTATTTTGACTTCACCAAATCAACTTTATTTTTTTTATAAATTAAATACAGGTACCCATAATATTTAATATGCTTAAAAATATTATAAAAAAATGTTTTTCCAAAATAATGAATATTCAACCATTTGCTTATGTCAGCGATTTAAATAAAACACTATCAGCAAGGTACATACAAACAACTGTTAAAACACAAATAACTACTACAATAAAAATGAGTTTTATCATTTCGTCGTTTATCTGACAAAGAGGCGTATCTCATTTTTAAACAAAACGGTGTGAATTGAATTACGCCAGTTTGTACGGCACACAAAATGCAAAAATATTAGTTACGCCGAAACTGCTTTATGCTAAAACTTTATATGTATCTATTTATTATAGAGCTACGCCAGTTTGTGAGATTATAAAGTCGATTTTGGTGATCATTCTGGTATAACTTAAAAACGAATTTTTTTGAGTTACGCCTCTTTGTCAGATAAACGACGATTTATACTATCAATTACTTAAAGTATTTAGTTTCAAGTGCATTTGGAATTTAGAACAATTCAATTTTAATACACATATTGGCAATCCAGGCAGTAAATTCCACGTTACAGATTATCTTTAGATTCGCTATCTTATCGGTCGTGTGTACACAGTTTCGTGAAATATTTTTTAGGGACAAATTCGTGTGTTAATGACGATCGAAAATGAACGTCATTGTGAGAACTGTGTTTAAAGAGTGCGAGTTTAAAGCTGAACGGTACACAAAAGGCGGGCAAATTTTGGATTTGTTGTTGAAAAACGAGGGCATACACGAAAAATGGTACTTTGGAATCATGTTCCTCAACCAGGAGGGAGAGGAGGTTTGGATAGAACAATCAAAAAAGGTACCCATCCATTATAAAACCTAAATTTCTTAATTTGGTAACAAAAACATTTATATCACTCTTATATACCCCTTAAAGAGCTTATTTGGGGATTTTATGAAGGTAATCTGTTTTATAACTAGAGATAAAAGAAATATTACGGAAACCACTCAGGCACATTTAAAATATATATTTCTTCATAGCTTACATTAAAGTAGTGAATTTTATATCTTGGTTTGGTCAATTAAGTTGTTTTTGTTATACAATTCGATTAACATTTATTTTATGTAAAAAACAATCACATCAAAAAGAGTCCTCTTATATTGCTCATGGTAACTTTATATAACCTAAGGTACTAGTTCAGTTTTGTACGACTATCTAAGTTACTTAAAGAGTTATTATATAGTTTTGAAACTCTTATACACATTGTAGTAACTGTCGTTACTACAAGTGTTGTTATAAAACTTTTGATGGAATGGAATCAATTTATTTTACTTAACATTCGGTATAATCCACTTTTATAGTATATTATATATCAAGTTTGATAAACGCCATTTTATGAAAAAGTTTATAAACGAGGTGCATACTATACTTTTTCTAGGACAAATACTTATTATTATCTTAAAATGATTTAAATCAAAAATTTGTATAGAGCGCCATCTATGAAACAATAGGGGTCACCGTCAAATGTCAATTTTTTTTAATTTATAAACACAGATTATAAAGGTTATAAATCGAAATGTATTTCTTGAAAATTGACAGTTTTTTACAGTGAAAGTAGAGAAAATGTTTTATGAGCACTTTACAGTGGAGTCCGTGTCCGAATTTAGGTTTAGTTTAGTTTACTGCCGGCGAAATTAAAAGGTCAGTACAACATTCATATAAACTTTTCAAATATTGGCGTTGAGAAACTATTTAATACTTTTGTATTTTTGTATTGAGATAATAAAATAATTTTCATATTTAGTATTATTTTACAAGAAAGGCACTTTATTTTAACGATTGTATGACATTTGACAACTGTCAACTAACTTCAGCCCGTGACTAAAAACCTGTTGCTAACTTCAGCCCGTGACTAAAGCGCCGTAAAGCCACAACTGTGTATTTAAAAGGTCACTTAGTGTCATGGAAACATGTACGATAAAGGGCATTTTAAAGGTGGGAGTAGAAAAAATAAAATAAAATATAGTTTATTTAGCCATGCTATTTATAACAATTTGTTTACTACTAATATATATTATAATTATCACAATTATAATTATTGAAAAGTTTTAAACCATTGGAAAAAACATTTTTTTGACTTTTTAATAAAAAAGTCTTTGTTTTGTCTTGTTTCATACATATGAACTGTGTTTAAATAACAAACATATCTAAAGCTTTATAAGATAGTCTTGGCTTAGCACTCATAAAATCTAAAACATCTAACATTAACTTAATGGGTGTATATTACATTTTAATATAGTACGTAATGCTCTATTTTGAATTATTTGTAGTTTAGACAGTTTACTTTGGCTTAGGTTAAAAAGGACTGTCGAACAAAACTCGATATGTGGTGAAAACAGAGACTTATACAAAACAATATTTACATATAAACTTAGTGTTTTCCTATTCTATTTTAACATTTTTGACATACTATAATTACTATGACAAGAAAAATTTAAGGGAAAAAGCGAGAGTATACAGATGTCAAATTTTTAACAAACAAAATTTGCTTTAAATTCTTCTATGTGTTCGTCGTAGATAAAGTATAGAATGCAACTCGTTTTATAAACTTCTCCAGATACTCGTTTTTATTAAACACTCGCTCGCAAGCTTCGCTCGTGCCTAACAAAATATCCTTTATAAAACTTGATACATAATGTACTATTATTTATGATCCACATTCAAAAACAAGATTTTCGCCTAATTAAAAATTATTTAAGAACTAATTGTCTAATTTTTAAAATTTGCACTTAAAAATACATTAGGTGTAGGTACCTATCTAAATATTTTTCCCAGTGTAATGAACTTAACAGGTTACCCACTCGTTACGTAATAAAACTGCATTGTAAACAAAAACTTGAATTAAACATAAACATGAATGTATTGTTGATTGACATTTTAGACCATTCGTGAGCTGAAAGAAAACGCTAGGAACTTAAATTTCCGAGTGAAGTTCTACCCTGAAGATGTGTCAGAGGAGATATTGGAAACAGTGACTCTGGAGTTCTTCTTTCAACAAATCAAAAGCCAAATAATTAAGGAGGAAATTTTTTGCCCTGGTACCACGGCAGTACTACTGGCTTCGCTCGCATTGCAGGCTAAATTTGGCGATTACGTACCAAAGGAGCATCGAGGACAAATTAAGCTACCAACTTATCTACCAAAAAGGTACTATTTTTGTTTTTGTGTTATCAGTTTTAAGTGTTGATTTTTTACCAGAGTTATTCGTGAGCAAGAAATGGACGAGTTGGAATGGATAGAGAACATTACAAATATGTGGATCAAACACGAAAGCATCGACAAAGAGGAAGCGATGATGGAGTACCTCAAAATTGTACAAAATCTGGATATGTATGGTGTCACCTATTTCCCCATCACCAACAGAAAAGGTACCAACGTATTACTAGGGATCACTGCTTATGGTTTGAACATATATGAAGAAAAAAACAAGTAAGTATACTAAGAACTATAATATGTTTTTATACTCTATGGTACAAGCTATTACGCACATGCGCAGGGTGCATTGTTTTGGCGGGATCACTAAAGGAGAGATGCGATCTGACCGCGAGGAATAAGTGTCTGTGGCTGTAGTGTTTTGTTTATTTGTTGTGACATCTGTTGGCTCTAATAGCTGGCAATTGTTAAGGGTAAGTTTTTGTAATAATAATACATCATGATACGAGCATAAGCCTTAGTTTAATAAAGGTGTGTACCTTGATCTTGGAACGGCACAATGAGCTGAGCACGTGGACGCAGATGCAGGTACACGAAAACTGTTTTTATTGATTTCCATTATATTAATTTATTAATTTTACATTATATAATATACGTAAATGTACAGGGTGAACTACGTAAGGTGACCCATATATTAATATACAGTGTGTCCGGGAAAAGGAGGTCAATCCGTTAACAATATATTCCTTGAGTTAAAACAATAAGACTTTCATAATACCATTTTTCAATTTAGAGCTTCATGTTCGATATACAGGGTTTGAATACAAGTTTGAAATTTAAAACTGATTTTTTTAAATAATTCAAGTAATTGATAAGATATTAAGTTTAAATTTGGTACACTACTTCAACATAAATAGTTACATTTTTTTAGACCAACAAAACAAAAAACAATTGTCAAATAATCAAAATAGGGGGGTCCAGTACTTACTGACTTTCCCTATTTTTTAGTACGTGCTCCAATGACTTTCAAACGCTATTTTTTCAGGGAATCATTTATTGTTGAAATTTTTTTGTCTCTTATAAAATTTGGTTAAAATGATTTGTTTTAGAGATAATTTGTAAAGTATGTGTCAGTCCATATCAAATTTTGGAAATTTAATTTTTTTTGAAAAAGTTTAGGTCATGTAATATATCATAAAAAAGGCCTCTAATAGGCCTTTAAAATAAGCCATCACTCACCTTTCTACTTGGTTGATTTGATATGGACTGACCCATACAAATTATCTCTAAAACAAATCATTTTATCAAAATTTTATAGGAGACAAAATTTTATTAACAATAAATTATTACCTGAAAAAATACCGTTTGGAAGTCATTGGCGCACGTACTAAATAATAGGGGGAGTCAGTGAGTACTGGACCCCCCAATTTTGATTATTTGACAATTGTGTTTTGTTTTGTTGGTCTCCAAAAATGTAACTATTTATGTTGAAGTAGTGTACCGAATTTAAACTTAATATCTTGTCAATTACTTGAATTATTAAAAAAAAAATCAGTTTTAAATTTCAAACTTTTTCGCCCTGTATATCGAACATGAACCTCTAAATTGAAAAATGGTATTATGAAAGTCTTATTGTTTTAACTCAAGAAATATATGGTTAACGGATTGACCTCCTTTTCCCGGACACCCTGTATAAAATAATAGTAAACATTGTAAAAATTAACCAATCAAGAGCAACATTATTAAGAAGTGTGGACATGGGAACATTTGGTTTAAAATTGTTTATTATTTATATTCTAAATTAAACCATATTTTATTTATTTATATTAATATATAATAACAATGTTAATATAATATTAAAAATATACTACCTACATAAATTTTTGTTCTCTACACATTTTTTGGGACAGTAGTTTTTGAGATAAGTATATGGGTCTCCTTACTTGGTTCACCCTGTACTCACCTACATATATCTAATACCTATATTCCCCAATAATGTATTCTATGGCACGCCGTTTTACCTTTTATTTGATAATAGTTTGAAGATAGGTAGTTTAGTACTTATAGCTTTGTTTTAAAAGAAATTTATAAGGTTGAGATTTTAATTTAATTAGTTGATTAAAATTAACGATTTAAATCATGATTTTAATAAAAATCATGATAAAAATGATTAAAAATAGCCCCCAAAACAAAAACAAACGATTTTACTGAAAATTAAAAGAATACATTTTCCAAATAATAATTTTAAAAAATTGCAGTGACACGTTGTGGGGTTTTTGTAAGTAGGAATATTTTTACGGTTGTTTTATTTTCTTCCTTGGCATTCTTTGTAAGTTTCGACATGCAAAATTTTGATTTACTTCTGTACTATTATATACCTAATTATGTTTTATTTATTTCTTGTACCTGTTCTTTGTAATAAAAGTATAAAATTTATAACCCTTATTCTGTCAGCAAGTAAGTTTAATAATTCTTATAAAAAATGCATAATTTCGTCTATAAGACAAATTTTATTAAAGTAACTAAATGGCTAATAAAGAGAATAAACAGTACTAGCCACTACATAAAATTAATAAGAATTTTCAAATACACATAGCAATCTGAAGTTATACTGGCTAAAAAACATTTAATACTCGATATAAAGCGGGTTTATAGTATTTAAGATTTTGATTATATCCACTGCAACATCATTTTATGGTGGCAGCATATCGATTTTATAAGAGATAATAGTATGTCTAATAACTGCTACAAGATGGTTTAACAAAACCGAGTTTATACTGTATGAACTAGTTGGTTGTCCTATTAAATACTAATAGAGGAATCTTTTAGGTTGACACCAAAAATAAACTTTCCCTGGTCTGAAATAAAGCACCTGAAATTCAAAGACAGAAAATTCACGATTACACTGCTAGACAAGATGGCGAAGGACTTTACTTTCATGACGAGATCTCCAAAATCCAGCAAAATTATCCTGAACCTCGGCATAGGAAATCACCTGTTGTACGTGAAAAGGCGGAAACCCGATACACCGGAAATGGCCAAGTTGAGGGAAAAGGCCGTTTTGCACAGGGAAAAAAAATTACTACAAAAGTAAGTGTTTTCAAAGCTTGTTATATCGTGTCAAAAACTTTTATGTTTCAAGACAAAAGCTTCTCAACGAAAAATCGGCCAAACACGAACTGCAAAAGCGCGAGAAAGAACTGCTGCGGCGCTTGGAGAAAATGCAGGAGGATATGGAAGCAAAAAACCGCGACCTGATGGAAGCCCAAAGAACCATAACTCTTCTGAGCGAAAAACTGGAAGACCTCCAAAGGTCCAAGGAGCGACTGGAAGAGGAAAAATGCAAGTTGGATGAGATGATGCGATTGCTGGAGGAAAGCAAGAACATGGAGGCGATGGAGAGGCAAAAACTGCAAGACGAAATCAGGAGAAAGCACGAAGAAGTGACGAGAATACAGAACGAAGTCATGGAGAAAGACGAGCAAACGAGGAGATTGCAAGAGGAAGTAGAGGAAGCTAGAAGGAGAGAGGAGGAAGAACGACGGCTGAAAGAAGAAGAAGCAAGGCGTTTGGAGGAAGAAAGGAGAAAATGGGAGGAGGAGGAAGCCGAGAGGATTAAAAGAGGGGAATTGGAAGAGCTGGAAAATGCCGATAACACCTTACCCGAGATAGAAGTTAATGAAGATCTACAAGAGCAACTTAAGGTAATTAGTTAATTTATGTTTAGGCACTATACCTACTTTTAAGAAAAGATCTGTGGAATTACTTTTAATTTATCGATCTCTTTTGTGGTGTTCATTGGATTCTTTTTTGACGTAACAACAATACCCCACAATACCTTGACAATAAAAATAAAGGTCAAAAAAATACCTTATATTTTATATCAAAATTGCTGTTTTAGGTAATTTTTTTTATTTCCTTTTTGTAAATATCATATAACGGATTCTGAAGGTAATTGGGCGAATTTTCGTTAAATGTACATTTTGTATATATATTTTATCCAGGCAGGTCAATTTATTCGATTTTTTTTCCTTTGTGATAGAACAGTGTAATAGACTGCAAAAAAATTCTATAACTTTATAAATAACAAAAATAAACTTTAAAGAAATAAAACTTATAGGGTTAATCTGAAATAGGGAAGGAACACAAGGAAGAAATGAAACATTGTCCTCCTCCTAACGCATCTTCCTGAACGTTTTATGACACATTGCTTTTGACTTTTTCAAACGTTATTTTTCAGAAATACTGTTAAATGTAAATATCTCTTGGCATTTGTTTGGAATTTCTACTATGCTATAATACAAAATGAAAATTAAACAAGTAACTTCTAAAACAAGAGTTCTATGTAGCGTTTTGTAAAAGACACCAAAAGTGTACGCAAAAAAATTTTACCTTTAAAATATTTACAAAAAAATTCACACACTTTGTTTCCGAACTATCAAACTGGATGCCCTCTAGAAATAAAACGCTCGAAGCAGTCGGCATAGAAGATGTTAGAAAAAAGACAAGATTTTTGAATGTCAACTTTAATATTTTTTTCTGTTTAAACTACTTTGTAGAAAACTATTTAAGTTTTATATACGAATAAAAGAACTTTCCATTGTTCAAAAATAATTTATTTTTTCAGAAGAAAGCTGCGAAGAAGAAGAATATAATAATTTAAATTAAAAAATCGCCTCTAGGGACACTTAGGTTACAGGACATTTCACCTAGTTTTTCTGCCATATACAGAAAGATAAAGTAATTAAAAAAAATACGATGGGTCCTAACAGGAAGGGGGTATTTAAATATAATAAATACAAAACTTATCAACAAAGGTCAAAAATAAAAATAAAATTAGCTGGGGACAGCAAATGTACATTTAACGAAAATTTGCCCAACTACTAATTACTTGGTCTGACTTCTGAAATAGTTTGTTGCAAATATCATTAAGTGTGGTATCTCTAGTTTCAAACTAGTAGTTTGTGAAGCATTTGTAATGTTTAGGCCGGAACAGGATGATTTATGTATATCTAATATTTTTTCGGGTGGTATGTTAAAAGTATTTTCCGAATTTATTAATTTGTTGCCATTAGTTTTTTATGTTCTCTATCATGCACTGTATTTAAATCACTGTTATTCTGCAAGATGTCCTGTGACAAAGAAATCACTATATTACTTACTCTCTAAAAATGAATAAGTAAAAATATCATAGCGAAAAAGCGGCCATTAATAATTCTCGCCAATAGCAATTTGTATCCAGGACATTTAGCAGTCAATTCCTATGAAATATTATTCGCAAAATAAAGATAAATAGATAGTATACAGCATCATCTAATGATTTGACTTTAAGGTAACTATTTATAGAACTCTTGTTTTTACAGTATTAATGTTAATGAGACATTTTTTTCTTTTAAACCTGACTTAAAAAAAAGTAATCAGAAAAAATCCTAAAAAGTGGAACATATCATAATTTTTTACTCTTCTGAAGGAACTCTGAAGTTTCAGATTTTTAAATTAATGTTTAATCAGAGCCCCAAACACAAATTAGAAAAAATCCTAAAGCAAAGTAAAAAAATCATAATTTGTTTTCAAACTAGGTTTTTTCTTGCTTTTTGACTCTTCTAAAGGTACTGCCAAAGTTTCAGATTTTCATATTAAATTTTAACTTGAACCCCGACCACTTTACAAAAATGGAAACTTTTGATACCCCTGATACTCGACCTATTCTACATAAACATCCATATAAATTTTCGTCGCCAAATCTTATGTTCACGTCAATTTGGAATCACAGTGTATATATATGGCCCTGACAACAAAATAAACAGTCGTTACAAGCGTCAAATCCTAACTGATTGATAACATGACCAAATCGGAAACCACAAGTGAATATTTTAGAGCCTGCCTGAGGCATTCCTACCTAGTAGGGGGGTATTACCTAAGCGAGAGAAGAACGAAGCTGGAGAAGGTATTCTGGATCGTGGCAATCCTGGTGACCCACTACCTGTGCTTTATGTTGATCTACTGGAAGTACCTCAACTGGCTGGAGTCGCCTCTGATTTACAAAACGGTGGAAGAAAGAACATTGGACACGAAGTTCGGATTGCCCGCCATAACCGTGTGCCCAGTCACGAAGTTCGATCACACGAAGTTCAACATCGAGAAATACATGAGAGGGTTAACCATCGACTTCACGAAGCTCCCCGAACCCATGGAAAAGTACATGGATTATTACGCGATTATATGCAAGGATTTTTTTTCGCACGTGTCAACTAGAAAAACCTACGCAGACACTTTGAATTACAAGCACTTCGTCGACACCATCACAAGTAGCAGGACAAAGTTCTTCGCTGAAGATGTGGTGTGTTTCAAGAACAACAAAAAAATCAACTGTTCGAACTACTTTCAGCCCATTTTGTTGAGAGAGGGTTTCTGCTATACCTACAATACCCTCAGTGAGGAGGTTATATTAAGGAAAAGCGCCACTCTAACAGGCTACCAGGACAAAGTCAAGGACTACGGCGACTTGATTAAAGATCAGCAAGTCATAATTCGTTTCATGTCGCAGTCGCGCGATCTGGATTACAGATGCATGCGAAGCGCCATACAGGGGTTTAAAGTTCTCGTTAGACCCCCCAGTGAGATTCCCGATCTCTACCACAACTACGCCTATCTCAGTGGAGGTACAAGCACCTCCATAACCATTGAGACAGACGTTGGATTCACAGCGGACGAGCTGTACACAGAAAAACCAGACTACAGAAACTGCCATCAGGAAGAAGAACGCCACCTAAGATACTACAATGCCTACACTGAGTCGAATTGTATAAGAGAGTGCTTTTCGAACTTCACGCAAAAGGCGTGCGGGTGCGTGGCCTTCTACATGCCACGCCTGAAAGACATGATAGTCTGTGGCTCGGCCAAAATGTTGTGCGTAGAGCGTGTCTACAGACACGTATGTCGCCTCATGACAATGCGGGAGAAAAATCACTACACCAAGTGCAAGTGTCTACCGGATTGCACTTGGGTTCAATACAAGGTCCACGCCGTGGCAGATTTACCACACACCGAGTTCAGGTTCTACTGGAAGAACGAGACTTACGATCAGTTTATGGCCAAGCCGGTTAAGCTGCCTCTCGTCACCACCCAAATGATAGTCAGTATGCTGCCTTTCAAAGGTACAGCCACAGAGACCAACGATTTTTTCAACTTGACGGACCTGCTCATCTCGTTTGGCGGTTTGATTTGTTTTTTCACCGGGTTGTCTATCATCGCCGTGGCTCAAACTTGTTACTTTATGACGTTAAGGGTGCTGTACAATAAAATTTACCACGGCAGTTATTGGAGGGACAAATTTTCACATCAATTGTGATATTCCACTTTTATTGTTTACATTGTTAATAATGAGTTATTAATAAATTATTATTCCATATGGTTTAAACACCTCACTGACCTTAACAGGTGGTTCATTATAGCGGGAAACTGAAAGAGATCAATCAAGTTTTTTAATAATAATTGCTATATATATATAAATGCTACCCTGATAGCAAAATTTGATTCTAAGAATCTTCTAAGAAGATATGACCCGGAATAATGGAATATTCTTAGAACCTTCCCTTATTGCTAAGAATGTTCTTAGGGACTTTTAAAACATTCAATAGATACCCTTTTAATGATGCAATTAGAATCTTAGAAGCTTCTTAAAACCTTCCTAAAAAGCATTCTAAGAACATTTTAAGTATACGTTTTTGGAATGTTCTTAGAAGGTTTCTTATGGAGCTTCTAGGAAGCTTTTGAGAATATTTTGGATTCTACATTCGTAAAATTCTTCAGGAGGCGACAAATAGGCCTCACTGTCATAATATGACAGTGAAATGTATTTGTCGTCCCCTTAAAAAATTTTGCGACATATTAATATATATTTATTTAAAAATATTAAATAAACAATTTGACCTTTAAACCATAAGTTGTATAACATTATTTCATAAAAAGTAAAATTGGAAAATTTTGTGGGATAAGTCAGATTAGATTGAAGTTGAAGATAGTTAGGATTATTATACATAAAAATGTTAGTTAAGAAATAAAAAATCGGTATACAAATTAATAAATATTTATTTTTAACATTAAATAAAAATATTTCCTTCATAAAAGAAAAAACCAAAAAGTTCTTCATAAAAAAACATTTTTCATTGTATTTAAGTTGGATAGAAGATTTTATGTAAAAGCCGGATAATTTAGATACCTATAGTAAAAATATTTTTGTTATCGAATATTGTTTTAATCTGACAAATAACTATAAAAAAATATTTGGGGTTGTGTTTTTTACTTAGTATTTAATACTGAGTATAGGTACCTTTATACGTAGATTATGGTATATTTTACTATTATATAGGTACCTACACAGTAAAAAAAGTAGTGAAGATATTTAACTCTAGTAAACTCTAAAAACATTCTATATGCGACGACTTTTTTTAGAGTTATTTATTCACACTGATGATAGTGTAATACTTTATATTTCTAGGGTAAATATTATAACGGTATTTAGTGTTACATTTAATTTACTAGTGCATAAATTTAACACTACTGTGTGTTAAGGGTACTCTGGGTAGTGACCCGGGGAAAATAGTTTTGTTAATTAGAGTATTATTTTACACTATTTTTATAACATTTAGACTCTTTAGAATCTTTTAGAGTAAACAAACTACTCTATTTTTAGTTAATATGCATATCTTTTTTACTCTGATTAGTAAACTGTACCTTCAAATCGAGTAAAAATTACTCTATCCTTAGTTGCTATAAAAAGAGGAAAATTAAAAACATATATTTAAATTCAAAAGTATATTTTGTGAAAAATAACAAAAATAAAAAATCATATAACTAATGTTAACATAAAAATAAAAACAATGTATAATTAAAATATCTAAATTAACTCGAACAAATGTTTCTTTTAAATCAATGCATCCATTTTGAATGGGATTTGTATATAATTGGCTCGTTTCTGTTATTATCGGTTTTGGGACAAAATGCCTAATCACATTTCAAGTTTTTACAATAAAATATCTTTAATATAAATAATAAGAAATAATGTACCTATTTTATATGTATTATGCAGCAGCACCCACGCACAAGCGAACCATTAAACAGCCCTTGGAAACAGCACTAAACTAGTTCACAAATTTATAGACGCTTTGCAATCCCTACCACAAATAATAACCCTAATAGTGTAGATTTAACTCTTTTTAGTGTAAAAATATACTCGCTTACTGTTTACTTTACTCTAATCCAAAACAATAATACACTAGCAAGAGGAAAACTAGGGAAATTTTAACGCAAATAGCGGTTGTAAAATACTAATTTATAGTGTAAATGTTTTACCTTTTACAAAGTCTAAATTAACACTAATGCGATTGTATTAGACATTCGAGTAAAAAATATAATATTTTTAGAGTTACGTTATTATTACACTGTAAAATAATGTAATATAGAGTTATGTAGAGTAATATTAAGCTATAGAGTTAAATAATTGTTGCATTTTACACTGTATATCAACTCTAAAATATTTACCAACTACACTAGCTACTTTACTCGATCCATATTTTTTACTGTGTAACTGAACTGAATATGTTTAACAGAATGTTCCAGGAATATTCCTAAATGAACTTTCTATAGCAATTACTTTCTCAACATTCTAAGCATATGTTTAGAGTGGATTAACTTTTACCACTAAACTTTGCACCGTCTAAGAACCTGCCTATAGACCAGTGAGAATATTCTTAGGATTATGCTATTTCTTTTAAGCATGTTCTTTAGAAGAAATATAGCATGATCCTAAGAATATTTTCAGTGGAAGGTTTAAAAAACATTCTTAGAATAAACTGTGCAATCAGGGCATTACTAAAAACTCGTAATTCCGACATTCAACAATCTGAAACTTAAACCAACTGTTTCTTCAACTAAACCGACCTACTCATCTTGTTTGGTGGTTTGATTCTTTTTACCGGCTTATCACATCAATTGTTATATTCTACTTTTATTATAAAAAAACAAACTGTATTAATTAAAGCTCATATGTTTTATTTTTCATGACGAAAACCATCTACTTTTGATTAACTTTTAGATCCTTCAAAAGCAATTAGACGAAACAAAGAAAATCAACGAAGAAAGCAACGAAGAAAAAATTTACAGGGACAATCTGGCCGCTGGAAGAGACAAATTTAAAACGTTACGGGATATTCGTAGCGGAAACACGAAACGTAGAGCAGATTTATTCGAAAATTTGTAAAAGTATCATCCAGTTACCTCCAATTTATTGTTAATTATTAATTAAAAATATAAGCACAAGAAGTTTGAGTTGTTTGTATATTTTATTCTGCAGTTGGTAGTACCATCAACATAATTATGTTAACCACACAATACGAACTGTACATGATTTTTAAATAAATAGGAAGGTAGTTTTTCACAAAAGAAGTCTTACTCGACAAATTTCATTCAATTTCACAGCTAAATCGCGGACGTTATTTGTGTTTTACGTTGCAAGGAAAAAATTAAAAAACTTTCAGTAGGTACTCGATTTCGACTGATTATTCCTTATATCATTGATTAAGAAACTCAACGTAAATGTTTATATAGTTACGTTGTTGTGTATTTTATCAAAGAATCATGGTGAATTATTGTGTTTTTAATTGTAAATAAAATTCAAGAACTAAATCGTTGCATTTTCATGTTTTGCCAAAGGATCCAATTCGGTAAGTACATTTGTTGGTGCAGAATTAACTAATGATAACTTTACCTAATATAATTTATATTTAAGTTTGGACATTTTTAAGATATTAGTAAAAAATAATTTTTGCACAAACATAACCATAAAATCAACAATTATTATATTTGAGTTCTCTAAAAAACGCAGACAACTGCATTTTAAACACCAAAATATACCTACGAATTCATGGCAACATAATATTATATATAAACGCTTTTAATAATGCTAAATGCTGTTTAAATTTAGACGACTTATTTGTTTGACGATTTTTACTGAATTGAAATGTTTACACTTTTCACGTTAATCACAACTAAAATGTGTATTTATTGTATCTAATAGGTACAATTTATATTTACAGAGGCTGTATGCAATTTATTTCTTCATTCAGATTAACACTGTTTATTGGAAAACCCGTAAAAACTCAACCCAGGATCTCTTCTCGAAATACACCCAACAACACAACAAATCGAGCCACGGTTTTTTTTTCGATATTTTAAGATTTTCCGGCTTTATTCTTTTTTTTTGTATAACAACCGAGTGGTGGTGCTACTAGCGATACTTCTATAGCGTATAGGGCAAAGAAAATTCTTTTTTGGTAGGTTAAACAAAAGAAATTCCAAATTTTTTTATTAGTTAGTTTTAACAGTTGATAAAAAGTTAATAATCATACATATATATATATCTAAAAAGAAAAGATTTATAAGTCGTCTAAATCAACGGCTTCGACTTTTGGGGTTATGTTGTCGACCAGCTGGTTTTTAATCGTGTTGTTTGTCTTTTGTTTGTTGGTTTTTGGCACCTCCAATCGACTCCAATTGCCCGGTTCGGCTTTTTTCAGTTTTATTTCCACTTTTGTGCCAAACATTGATACTTGACTTGCTTTAATGTTGATAATCTAAAAAATAATTTTAATAGGGAAAATTCCTTTAAAATAAATTATTTTTTTACTTACCCCTCTTAACTCAATGTCTAAATTAAAAAAACCATTATCTTGTTGCGGAAAAAACAAATTTATCACCAATCTAATAGGATTCAGCTTCACAGTACTTTTATATGGGCAATATTGTTTTGCATACACTGAAACCACAACATGGGTACCAGTTTGATGAAAATCCCATCGACAATCCACACTTTTATCACCTTCCTTAAAAAATTACAAAAATAGTCAATTTGTACGCCATAAATGTATGCACAAAACTTCTTTGTCATTGACTACAGTTATTTTTTTTTTATCTGGACTTCTGCTAAAGAATTTAATGAAATACTTTGACACTGTCAAATTGACAATAATATTTATTATTGATAATTTACTTGTCAATTACAAATAAAAAGATAATTATGCCAAAAATAATAGCAACGAATTCGAATGTAAAAGCCCTTTTGAGGGTAAAACTTCATTTTGATGAAATTATGCCAAATGCCACAATGGAAGAAAAAGTACCTACATCACCTTATGGACATTTTTGAAGTAAAAAAGTAACGAATTTGGTTTTATAAATATTACATCACACATTATTTCCACATTATTCACCATTGAACAACATTTACGTTCACAAAAAATTTTTAATTATATAAATTCTTTTCAAAGCAAAGATTATTATCCGCTAGGAACACTTTCTCTTCTGGGCCGTTAAGCAACCTATATTTAACTACTTTTTTTATATGATTTTATTTATCCAAGCACCACCAAATCCAAATTAATTGCATTTTTAACTACGAATTTCGACAACTCAACTTGACAACTGCACAATGTAACCGACAATAATTTATACATAACCACAATTAGATTTATAACTAGCTTAGTTTGTTTTAATCAATGCGACCAACTTGACAACTGTATTTACCAACCAAAACCCTAAGTTAATTTAAGGGCTTTTCTCTTTTAACGAGTGACATTTTTTCTTAAAAATGCGATAACTTGGACAAAAATATTCATCGTTTCAATTTTTTTATTTTTAGGTAGTTAAATTACTTAATTAGAAGCATTTCCGGTAAAACCAGAAGTTACAAAATGTGTTAAATTTGATGAATAAATTTATAATTATTAATAACAGTAGGCCGTGACATTCAGCGGTGCCAATGTAGTAAAAACAAAACGTTGTATTTTAATTAACAAATTACTACTTAATTACAAATAAAAGTATCATTAAAAACTAAAAACAACGTAAATAGTAAATAAGCAACAATAAAAATTGTTAATTTGTTGTTATAATGGCAAAATTAAGGTATAAAACTGTCAATGTTTGTGTTTCTTAGGTTGGCAGCGCGAAATTTGAAATGACAGTATTAAGTGCTAAAAATCGTTTTTTTTAGATTTTTTTGAGACTAAAAAGTTTTGTGCTTTCGACTGTTACAAATATATGTGGAAATTACCTCTTTTTTCCATAAATGAACGCCCTGGACGCACCCGACCTGGTTTAAAAATGCGTTAAAATCAGTAGTGCGTTTTTGGCAACAAGACCAAAATTTTAAACCCTCGTGGAAAATTGGTACCCCTGAATGGTGTATGCAAGTCGTATCGTTGGTAGTTGGACCTTTATATTCCTCCCCACAGCCCCCGTTTTTACATATCGTGCCTAAAGGAATCGCATTTGGATCGGTATTTGCATTCTCAGTCGTTACAGAAGCAGAGTTAATCGAGTTTAGCAACGAAGGAGCTATTTGGGGTTTCATGAGGACCTAAATATAAAAAAATGTAAAAATATGCAAAACTACATTTTAAAGATCATACTAGTGCCGAATCAAGCGATGGCCTTTCCAGGGCAGACTTAACGACAGGCTTAACCTCAATCACTTCAGTATCAGGGATATCAACATCAACAGGCTTCTCTGGTTCCGGTGGTTTAACGTTGGAATGTTTCGACAAGCTACACCCTTTAGTATTTAAAAACTCGGTAAAATCCGTGTACTTTTTATTACAACACGTCCAACCCTTATAGGCATCGTGGAAAAAAGGCTCCCCAGGATGATGCCTGCAAGAATCTTTGCATTTTTCCTTTGATAAACAGTTTTTCTAGAATTTACATCATAACCTCTTACCGTCTTTGTTCGTGGCGGGGTCGTATTTTTGACCGCAACCCCTGTTATAACACTGCAAAGTGCTGTCGCTCGACATCTCAATTGATGGGGTTTCCAATTAAACTCCTGGAAAATCGCAAATGTTTAAAAATACACGTTCTTCAGCGTTTTGACAGTTTGACATTCACAGAGACATCTGTCGCAATACCAGCGAACTAAATGCGGTATTGTCAAATCGCCCAACATTTTAAATAAGAAAAACTCAAATACATAACGTAATTTTTGCTCAAATTTACTAAAAATTAGTTTAAAATACATGTATTAAAGTAAGTTTAAGCATAGATTACAGAATAAATAAGTGAACATGTTTTCATTGTGTTAATCAAACGTAGGCAACTCAGTTAACAATTCATAATACAGCAAATTTTACTGTATTAACGGTTGGTTTTGCATTAAAAACTGTTAGAATCCATAAAATAATACAAGATTGTATAAAAAATAGTAAAACTCGTTAAATTGGGTGATCAAATCAATCAAAGAAAGGAAAGTCAAATTGTAGTTGCGTAAAGTGTCGGAAGATGGCGTCGGCGGCGAAGATCGGCATTTGTTTCGTGCCAGATCCATCATGGCGGCTGTCGCAGGGGTTTGTGGGTAGAGAGATGGTTACCATTTTTCAGTGTCTAGTTTTGCGCGCTGTGATGAATAGCCGTTGAAAAAGTGGTGATTGTTTTCAGTGATTTTGTCGGTTTTGTGCTCGGTTTCGGTGTTAATTCGGTGTTAATTCGGCATCCGGAGCCGATATGGGAAACAGTTTCGTGAAAATTCGTTGGTAAAGTTGTTGGGTTAAGTGGAGCAAAACATACGCGAAATCTAGTTGTTTTAAATTGATGTGTTGTTGTTTGAATTGTATTGTAATGGTCAAATTCGGCTGCTTGCAACACGCGAAAAAATGCAGGTACGTTGAAATTTTGATTTTTTTAAAGGGCAAGATTTTATTTACAACTGTCATATATAAAAGTCTTGGTTTATTGTGGCCCGTAAAACCTTTTACTTTCTCCTATAACACACTAAAGTAACTCTGGGTTATTGGCCGGTTGCAATAATCTCAATTGGATATTCAGCATAACAAAATTTATGGTTTGTTTTTGTTTAATAATATAAAACATGACGATTTTGTAGCATAACAAATATCAAATATAAATATATACAAAGTTAATTTTTTAGAAGAAACAATAATTTGAGGTTAAAGTAAGGTTATAATAATGTCAAAAATTAGCTTATTTTGGTATATACCACAGACCTGTGGTATATACCCAAAGTTTATTTTTTTACTTGGAATTAAGTTGGTATTTTTAATATTTAAAATTGGTAATCCTGTTCAATGCCTTAATTTTACTTTTACATTTTCATTTCAATGTTGGAATTTTTATTAACAATGCCAAAGATAACAGAACAATCTAAACGAAAATAGATTTTAAAATCGAAACAGCATTTTAATGAAATAATTTAAATTTAAATCGACAAAATTTTTTTTACTCAATTTTGCTAACTAATCCAAATTTTTGACGTCAAATTCCGAATAAAAAAACGAGGTATATTCATTTTGCATTATATTTTATTCAAAATAGAATTTTTTATGAAAATAGTCAGAAAAAATATGTTTAACATATTTTTTGAAAAGCATTTTACAAATTTAAAAGAAACAATAAAAATTCTTTAAACAATAATATTATTATATATTATTATATATTGTATATAAATAGGATTTTTGAAAATAATGTCAAAAATTGTTTTTTTGGTCTATAACTTTAAATCAATTTTTTAATTTTCTGCAATAAAATTAGTTCATACAATTACTATACATTTTTTTATATTTAAGTTAACCAGGATTTTTGAAAATAATGTCAAATTTGAACTAGAAGTTTGAATTAATTTATCAATAAATCATACCTAACACTAGTTCTAACATTTATAATTTTATATTAAATTAAATTTTATTTAAACACGAATAAAACATTAAACAACGTTTATCTTAATCTTTTAAAACTATTTTACAAACTTTAAAGAAACAATAAAAAAATTTAAAATAAAATATTTCTATTTTAAAAATAATTTATTTTTACTAAAAATAATCACAAAAACTAAATTAGGCACTATAAATTACTATACATTTTTTGTATTTAAGTTAAATACCTAGGATTTTTGAAAATAATGTCAAAAATAGCTTTTTTTGGTCTATAACTTTAAATCCATTTTAGAATTTTTTATATTTAATTTAAATAGGATTTTTTTAATTAATGTCAAAAATAGCTTTTTTTGGTCTAGGTATATTTTTGAATTTTCTGCAATAAAATTAGAAGTTTCAATTACCTAATTCATAATTTTTTGAAAAAAGTCATTTGATTTAATTCACGAATTAATTCGCGCCAATCCTGATTTTTTGTGTTTTAAATAAAGACTTATTTACACAAAAATACATATATTGTAGGTATTATTACAGACGAAAATGGCGTTAAAATGACAGATGGATAACCACCTCAATTATTTGTATGTTTTAACAGAAATTTAAATTTTTTTAAACTCAATTTTTTTTTTAAATATAAAATAGGTAAATTAAAATTTTTTAAAACTCATTTTTTTTATATATAAGATAGGTAGGTACATCAGTAAAACTTGGGATTAAAATATTGATTTTTAAAAATTTTAGTTCAAATATTATACAGTGTGTATTAAAACGAATAGATACACTTAAATAAAACAAGTGCTAAACCCCGCCCACTGTGGTAGGAATTGAATTTTAGAATTATTTTTGTTTGAGAATTTATAGATTTTATTTTTATCGAATTCGTTTGTTTTGTTTTAATGCATTTCTGCAAGTAAAAACCAAGTATTGTTTAAAATCCATTAAATTCCAGTTAATGGCGAAAATGTATTTCTTAAAAACTATACACATTTCCCTACGACAGCGTCGGAGCTACTGAACAAACACAGTAGATCAAGCTGCATGCCCTTGTATCTGGCTGCATGCCGCGCTGTTGCCATATGCTATTGTTGTTTCCTAAAAGGGTTGTTTTTCTTATTTTTTAATATTAAAAGTAAGAAAATTAACTTTCTGACATATTATTAATTTTTTTGTTATTTTTAAAGTTTCAAACAAATAAAATTGAACTATTTATTAAATAATTATAATCGTTCTCTTCTGATTTAAAACAACCTGGCAACTATGGTTCGTAATTACGAATGGCTTGGTTTAAACCACGCCCAATTAAAGTTTGTTTCTTTTTCTCTGATCAGAATATATATATATATAATTTGTCATCCTTGTCTCCAGCCTTACTTACTTACTTGATTCTATACAGTCTGTATTCCACATTCCACAGTAGTAGTGCCTGAACACAATTCCGCGCGCGCTTGTAAAAAAATGATTGCCCGAATAAAAAAAATAATAAATACTTCAACTTAAAGCAACAATTTTGACATTTCTTAACTAACTTTTGCAGAGGTCATCTGAAGTGAGAGGGGGCTCTGAAGGAGAGCCGTTGATATGCTGTTACGATGGCTGGAAAGCCTGAGCTGTCAGCTGCGCCCGGCGTCCAAAATGTGGTAGTGTACGTGTCGAACGACAATTTCGCCCAAGCCTACGCTGTCTCGGGCCCCAACGCGTCCCAAAACCCCCACCAACACCACAACGGGGTCTACGCCCAGCACCACAACCCCGCCCCGCGAAGCTACTGCCTCGAGAAACAGCAGATCAAGCCCCAAGAGTACCCCCACCTAATCGGGGGGGGCCAGGTGCATCAGGGGGGCTACCATGTCAAGGTGCAGGACGAGGCGGGCTACGAGGGGGGCGGTTACGTGACGGTGGTGGGGGGGCCGGACCAGAGTATCCGATGCGACTCGGTCAAGTCCGAAGCTGCCGAGTCCAGCTGCAGCAGCTTGAGCTCGACCGAGGAGGGGCTGGTGGTGGTTCAGCACCCCCCCCAGGATCTCGTGGTGTACGATTCTAGTGTCAGTGTGCGGAACGGGGGGGTGCTGGTCGCGGTGGGCCCCGCCCCCCCTCACCAAAGTAATCTCGTCAACCAGAACAACCCCGCGAATGCAGGTGCGGCTGTGCCCCCCGGATGGAAGAGGATCGTCAACAATGGAGCCGTTTTTTATATAAGGTAGGTTCACATTTTATTAACAATTTTTATTTAGGTGACATCTGCAGATGCGGAACTTTTTTAAAGTCAACATCTGCAGATGTGGATGAAACGCAACAAATATTAAAAGTCGCTTTCAGATATAAACATGATGCGGAAGTTCCGCATGGGCATGATGCGGAAGTTCCGCATGGGCATGATGCGGAAGTTCCGCATGGGCATGATGCGGAAGTTCCGCATGGGCATGATGCGGAAGTTCCGCATGGGCATGATGCGGAAGTTCCGCATGGGCATGATGCGGAAGTTCCGCATGGGCATGATGCGGAAGTTCCGCATGGGCATGATGCGGAAGTTCCGCATAGGCATGATGCGGAACTTCCGCATAGGCATGATGTGGAACTTCCGCATAGGCATGATGCGGAACTTCCGCTTATGCGAATACGGGTGCAGACGTCTATAACAGCACTAATATATAAATCAGTGCTGTTATAGACGTCTGCACCCGTATATGTTGAAATGTACAATTTTAATTTCTGCAAACCCAAAAAGGCTAAAATCTAAAAATTAAAAAAATTATACTAAAAATTACTTAGATTAATTTATTTGAATTTATTCCTGTTAAAAATTAAAATTTAAATAATTTTTTAATAATTTAATAAATTTAAATATATATGTTGCGGAAGTTCAGCTTATACATATGCAGACGTCTGTAAGTAACAGCACTGATTTATATATGAGTAATTCTTTTATAAACCGAACACCTTTTGACCGACACATCTCAGATTTGGCTGAAACTTTTTTTACGGATTCTATGTCGAAAAATAAGAGATACGTGTCCGAGGAATTTTTTTTCTCTCGCATATTTTCGATAATACAAGCTATCGAAAATTTGAGAATAACGAGTTTTTTGGCTTGGAGACTCATTTTCAAAAATTTATAACTCTGGTTCTATTTGAGCTACAAACTTCTTTTTTTTTTCATTTTAAAGCTAAAGGACTGAATTTTTATAAAAAAAATATTTTCAATAAATATTATTAACAAATTCATATTGTTATTAACAATTTCATTGTTTAAATCAATTTTTAACAATGGCCCCCACCTCGTATTAAGTTTTTAGTATTTTTATCGTATTTTCCATCAAATTTTACATAAAAAACATGTTTTCAAAATATGGTACCTTTATTATTACTATTGTTAAAACATTAATTTGTATTGCGCGACACATAAAAAAACGGTTTTTTGTTAATAAAAAGAAAACTATAGCTCGGATCAAAAAAAGTCATATATAAAAGTTGTAGATAATAAAAAGATATACAATTTTTATTTTAACTATTTTTTGACATAACCTCACTTTTCAAATAAATTGAAAAATTTTCGATAGCTTGTATTATCGCAAATATGCGAGAGAAAAAAAATTCCTCGGACACGTATCTCTTATTTTTCGACATAGAATCCGTAAAAAAAGTTTCAGCCAAATCTGAGATGTGTCGATCAAAAAGTGTTACCACATGAAGGTGTTTTTTGAAATGTACAATTTTAATTTCTATGGAGAATATTAATTTAAAAATAATAGGTTCTGCAAACCCAAAAAGGCTAAAATCTAAAAATTAAAAAAATTATACTAAAAATTACTTAGATTAATTTATTTGAATTTTTTCCTGTTAAAAATTAACTTTTAAATAATTATTTAATAAACTTTTTTTTGAATATTTTTTGAATGAAAAATATCAAAAAAACCAGATTATTTAAAAAATATATAATCCAATTTTTTTTTTAAATATTTCCAATGTTACTCCAAAACTCGGGTAACATAACTTATTTTAAATAAATTGAAATTTTACGTAAAAACGAATATTTCAGTGGTTATATTTTTGTTTTTGATTTTTCGAAGAAAGGTCATTCTTGATGTTTTGATTGTCAAAAAAATCCGAAATTGTGTCTGTTAATTTTTAAGAACTAAACTGATGATTTCGAAAATTAGATTTTCCAAATTTTAGAAAACTTTGGATTTTATGAAACTTTTTACCTAATTTAGTTTGAAAATACACTTTTTTACTACTTAAAATATAAAAAAAATATTCTTTAATTTTTGATATTAGTAAGTACCTACATTTGCAAATGTACATGGATTTTGAAATTTTTGAACTTTTTGTAATTTATATTCCTTAATTTTTATATTTTAGTGGAATTTTGATTTCTTTAAATAATTTCGTTGGAATTTTTTCTTTTAACCAATACTAGATTTTTTCATTTGTAATTTCCATAAACGTGATTTTTTTGAACAATTTCTATACTTTATTTTTTTATATTTTAGTTGAAATATGATTTCTTTAAATAATTTGGTTGGTACTTTCTCTTGTGACCAATGTCAAGATTTTTAAATTTCTAAACTTTTTGTAATTTTTATAAACTGTGATTTTTTGAACAATTTCTATTCTTTAACTTTGTATATTTTAGTTGAAATTTGATTTCTTTAAATAATTTGGTTAGAATTTTTTTAAAATTTCTATTCTTTAATTTTTTATATTTTAGTTGAAATTTGATTTCTTTAAATAATTTGGTTGGTATTTTCTCTTTTGACGAAAAGTCAAGATTTTTAAATTTCTGATGTTTTTGTAATTTTCATAAACGTGATTTTTTTGAACAATTTCTATTCTTTAATTTTTTATATTTTAGTTAAAATTTGATTTCTTTAAATAATTTGGTTGGTATTTTCTCTTTTGACCAATGGTCAAGATTTATAAATTTCTGAACTTTTTGTAATTTTTATAAACAGTGATTTTTTGAACAATTTCTATTCTTTAACTTTGTATATTTTAGTTGAAATTTGATTTTTTAAATAATTTGGTTAGAATTTTATCTTTTGACCAATAGTCAAGATTTTTTAATTTCTGAACTTCTGAACGTGTTGAATTGAAATTTCACCAAAAAAAGAAATAATTCAGTAGTGTACTATGGTACAACACTAAAATTTTTAAAATTATATATTTATATTTTAGAGATTATTTTCTATAGAAAAACGTAATTCTTACCTGTGTTTTTTATTATTATTATTATCTATAGGTATCTTTCCACCAATAATTAAATGCTTTGTTGTATTTATTAATTAGGAAGTTAAATAAGAATATATTTAAATATCTATTTAATACCACAATGTTATGCATCGTTTAATAGGAGTGTTTTTTGTCGAGTGGTTTGAATATCCATATGTTTTATTTTCCTTCAACATCTGTCCCCTTACTTTTTATAAGCATGAAAAACGTGTATTCAAATGTTAAAATAAATATTTTGCTGATCGAAATATTAAATAGTAAGTAGGTACCTACACTAAAATAGTGTTTATCTTTCGATGTATTTATAGAAGTTTATCTCGTAAACTTGCGAATTTGCATAGCAGATAAACCATCAATAAATCATACCTAAACTTAAAACTAGTTCATAATTTGATATTAAATTAAATTTTATGTAAACGCGAATAAAACATTAACAACGTTTATCTCGATTGCAAGGTGTATGTGAATATGTGTTCAAGCAGAAAAATAAACACGAAATGCGAATTACAAAGTGAAATAAACTGTTATTTATTGCACGAGGGAATTTAAATATTTGAACGGCGAATGAACGTAAAATCTAAAAATAAATCGAATAATTTTGTTTCGTCGTTTGCGTTTCGATAAAAATTAAAATTGTATTTGATTGAAAGTGTCAAATAAAAATATTTTTGAACTGTTTGTAGGTAGGAAATTTTCTTCAGTTGAGACTGTTGTGTTATTACAAGATTTAGCTCGCTTTAATGCATCGCTAATTATAAATTAACATCGTCGTTTATTTAAAGCACGATTGCGCTTCTCTGCAACAGCGAGCTAAATCGTAAATTGTTGTTTAATGGATTAATATGCATATTCCAGATGACTAACTACCACGTTACGTAAATTGAAGCCATTATTTCTTTGTTTAGCTTTTACAAATTTTTATTTTATATTTTATAAAAACTAAAACTGCATTTATGCATGTGTATAAAAATTCTACAGAAAAAAATGATCCCACTTCTGAATTTTTCGTTTCTTGGATGAAATTTCAATGTATTATTTTAATAATGTATTTTTGTTTTTTGTCGAAAAAATAATATTGACATAAAAAAAAATTCTACAGGGTGTTAAAAATTAAGAAAACATTAAAATTGATTCATTTCTAATTTGTTTGAAAAATTACGACGGAAATTATAAAGTTTATGGTCCTTTGTTTTTAACTCGGTTTTGAATAGGTAGGTTTTTATTCAAAAATTATTGGGGAATCGTATGGGTAAAAATCAAAAAATGTTTAGGTACGCGTCTTTGGCTAATTAAAAATTAGAAAAAGAAGTGAAGTGTCTCAAAACTTATTAGTATTATTTCTGCATGTTAATTATACGAGATTTATATTAAATATTTACCCAGATTTAAAAACATCGATTAAAAAGAAAAACAAAGAGCTATTTTGTCTCGTCGGTAACGCGTCCCTTATTACGTTTTACAATTTTACGCTAGATTTTTCAATCAAATAATTTTTAAAAACAGGACAAATGTAAACCACTTTAAAGAAACTAACACCAAGTATTAAATAAATTACATTTTATTTAAAAACAATTTGGTTTTAAAGATCCAGCCTTTGGGTAACAGACTGTCTGCTTTGATCGCATCCTGTCGGTAACGATAACTGTAATTTCGCCTAAAATCCGCCAGGATACGTAATACCTGTCATTTGTTGGTTAGTGTGCTAGAGTTAGTGTTTATTTGTCATTCAAACCAGGTAAGTTTTTCTGTTTATGCATTAAAAAAATATATTTAGGCTTGTTTGCATAAAAACGCTACCGTATTTTTTTACGATGTCTAATCGGTAACTGTTCTAGCGGTAAAATTTTGATGTCGATATGAGATTTGTTACATTTTTCTGATGTATAACACCAATATTTGCAATTTTGATTATAATGGTATACTAAAAGTATTTTTTTAAACATATATTTTGATTATTATTCCATTTACAGAACCTTTATTCCCGACAAACTATACTGTTACCGACTAGACATAATTGAGATCAGAAGACAACAATTATCAACATAACAAAAAACTACCTTTCGTTGATCTCAAAGATAAGCTTTATTATGTTGCGAAATCTTTATTTTAGAATATTAAAAAGTTTAATGGACAAAAAGCAACATTTTAGTTTTTTAATTGTTGTAGGTCGTTTTCCAAAGATTTTTTGATTTTCACCCGTATACAGAAGAAAAATTGATTTTTTTTCATTACAGCGCCATCTATTACAAATATGAAAAAATGTTTTAGACAAAATCTACCTATTTTTAGTCGAATGATCCGAATCTGCAATAAAAAATATAATGTTCCACTGGAAATTTTAAAATGTTTATTTCAAAGTCTACCTTTAACAGAGTTCACATTTGTACACCGATTTTTATAAAATTACAGTATATTATTGAGGAGACTTTTTAATACTGT